TGGCAAAGCCGAGTAAAGATACCCCATTCATTGATGTCCTTCATCTTCTTGTGAAGCTTGAAATCACTGAGCATCTCCTGGGCATTCGCTCTGAGGCATGTCTTCCCACATGGCTAGCCCTGGTACTTCCCTCTGAAACGCCGCAGAATTTTCATGTTCACCCACAGGTTCACCCACAAGTGTCCAAACAAAACAAAAGACATGTGGCAGTGCCAAGCAATCGTATAATACATATTAATGAGCTACATCCAACTAGGTAGAACATTTGAACATCCCTTCTACTGGATGGTTTAACTTCTCCCCACTCACCATCTATTTACAGTGGTTTCAGAGGTTCGATGGCACTGGCACCCAAAGATGTCTTAGACAGACGTGGGTCCACGCAAAGCACCAAACTCAGGGGCCCTTGTACCATCCACTCTCCATTATTCCTCGATTTTTATGGATCCACATACTCCCTCAGGTTCGGTAAAACTGGACCGACGTGTTGGCACCTACGAGTACATAACAGTGTCGAACACATCTACCGTATCTCAGGGGGTGGCAGTGAATCCCTAGGGGATATAAAGATGCAAGTCACTCCGCTCCCCCAAAGATGCAACTGAGCCTCTTTATCCGGACTCTCAGAGATGTCATCCGTGAGCGCGCTGAAGGCTGGGCACGACTCCAGTTGCAGATCGCCAGCGCCCTCCGCTTCGAAGACATTCCTAGTAAAGACAGCGAGCCAAGCAAAGGGCAAGAGCTACAAGCTCTTTACAAGACCACTTCCAACTAGGCCATCGACTTCCATGCTAGTGACTGCTAGTGAGACAAAGGGCAAGCTGCTAGACAAGGTTGACTTCCAACTGCACAAGAATCTTGGAAAACTCACCGCCCAACACCTTTTGGGCTTAAAGGTAGTACCCAGCCCCACTTCACGGGACTTCCATATTTACATTGGGGTGGGCCAGACCCAGGGTCAATGTAGGCATATATCAGTCCAGTCCCATGGAGTGTCTGGGAACTCTTTTGAACACTTTTTGAACCAGGGAGAGATTGAGAGATTTCTGAACATCCAGATTTCTCTGATCAGCTCATCCCGACTCGCACCAAACGCGCAAAACGCGCTGCTCCTGAAAATAAACTCCGAACGTGGGCAGTGGAAGTCAGACGTTACCAAGTAGACCTTGATGTCCGCAGTCGCCTGAGTTGGAACAACACCGCTGATCCCGACCGGAGTTTTTTAGACCGGAAGTGGAGCTGAAGCTGCTTAAAGCTGTGAAAGTTTCCAGTATGACTTTTGATGTAGACCTCCAAAGTCAAGCGGAACCAACAGCAACCATCACCAAGCGGTCGATAGGACAACAGGGTTTGGAGGGGGGCTATCTCGAAGAACCACCTCCCTAAAGTCCCCTGAAGATTCCTACAGCACTAGTCTTTTGGATTTGCTTAATTAAGGAACCGGAAAGCCATCAGAAACTCTTGGCTTCCCCCATATGGAACATCACAATCACCGTAGGCAAAACCAGGTACAGGCACTTGTCTCCACCCTTGCCGAGCCGTGGTGTACCTCCCAGTGTTCAACAAGCGACAACGGTCGGCACGTGCTTTCGGATGATGGCCAGGGTATTTCGCGCATTCTCCTTGCTGCATCTCAGATGGAAAGGAAAGAGGAAAATACAACAAACATGTACAACCATTGACAGCCAAGTGTCTTACCCTGAAATGTTTGACTATAGAAACTGTGGATACTTGCCTGTTGTAAGCAACATGGTACATGTGACTGAAACACATTGAAAACATTCGAGATATTGTTCTTATCTATCCAGCCCACTTCTACGAATGTTTCGATAAACATGAGGCACAAACGTTGATTCACTTTAATTGAGGACCTCTGTTTGTACTTGTACACATTTTCTCCCCCGATAGCATCGATTCTTTTGGAGACAGGTGTCTGCGAACAAACAAGAACAAACCAATTTTCCATTGTGTCGGATGTGTCGCAAGGGTTGCAAACTCTGTACACTGTCCCATCCAAAGTCTCAAACATAGAAAAAAAGTCTTCAATACCCTGTTGTAGAACCACTGCAAGCTTTCACCCAATATCCACAAAGGCAAGATTCTATGGTATTGCATGCCAGCTCATCCAATAGCAAAACATCAGGTGGAATGCAATGTGGTTCCGAACTCAGGATCTTCTTCATCGCCTTCAGAGTTGCACAAAGACGAGCATCGTGCGGGTCGTACAACCCGGAGTCACCTTGAGCCACTGGATCCAATGAAGGCATCTAATTCACAAAACTGATTCGTATATAAACCCTTGAAGTCAATTCAACCCCAAACAATCCATGGGACTGAAAGATTTGTCATCCCATGGGACTGGCGTGCTTTCTTTTTTAAGATGGTTGCGTCAAACATCGCTCAAAAGTATAGATCAAAATCAATACTCCGAAAGTACCTGGAGTCTCAGTTCGCACCTCCAAAAATGGGCACAGATTTATACTATCCCTTTTTGTTTGAATAGGATCATGCGTATTCGTCATGTCACATGTCTCATTTTCGGACCGGGTCATTTCTTTGGATTCTTATAGGGACCTTCCATTTGTCTTCACCTCCCCCAGCCGTGTACCGCTCTGCCTGCGCTTCCGAGAGCCCCACGCGGCTCACATCGGCGCCGCTGAGCACCACCGAAGCCCCGACGCTGCGGTGCAGCTCGGCGGCCAAGGCTGCGCGGTTGGCCAAGGTCACAGGCACCTGAGAGGGGCCGGGCGAAGCGCGCGCGTCGAAAACGCATGTCCTTCCGACTAGCGATGGCCTCGTTACTAGCCATGGCCTCCAACCTAATGTCCACCTCTGATTTGTAAGGGGGGGCCCCCCCCCCCCTGAAAGACCTCGAATAGAAAAAAAGACTGTTTTCAACTGTTTAGTATTGGTAGAGATTTCTCCTTTAGTATAAGAATCTGGAATAGAAGAAAGGAATCCATTGAGGACCCATTGATTCAGCAGGAATCCTCACCAGGATCAGCCAGCAGGAATCCTCACCAGGATCAGGGGTCCTTAGCTGTATTTAGGGTCAATC